TAAATAAAATAAAAAATAAAAATAAATACTTTATTAGAAATTTATAAAAATAATCAGAACACATCACACTCTCATATTAACTCCCCTTTTTAATTTTTTTTTTTAATCTCTAGATCAAATGATTACCAAATATTAAAAAAAAAACTAAAATTAAAAAGATGTTCAAAAAAAATAAAAATTTAAAATTAAAATCATTTTACAAAGAAAGATCATCTTTTCATCTTTTTTTTTTAGGCGGGAACAGGTTGTTTTTGAAAAATAAATAAAATAAAATAAAAATAATATAAAATAAAATAAAAAAATAAGAATCTATAACTATTTGAATACTTACAGGAATACTAAGGTATTGTTGATTATTTGTGTTCCAGATATCAGATCCACCAATTAATTGATAACCCAATGTAGAGTAAAGATTCGAGGTGATTGTCGATGAAGATGTTGGTTGACCATCGAGAAGGAAACTAATTTCATCTGCATAAGGTTTGCCGGCATTCAATGTGTAGATAGAAGGATTGGAACTCTTTATCGTGGTCATTACTTGCATTAAACTCGATTGTTGAACCTTTGTACAAAGGAATGAATGTCCGAATGTTGCATTATAATAGGAGAATCCAGAGAGTATCGAATCGGTTGGAAACCATCTCTGATCTGGAGTTTTGCTGCTACCAACCACAAAGTTTGTGGAATTCAATGGAATTGGAAAACCTTCGAGAGAATGAACAATGTGGATACCATTCTTGGTTGTAGTGTCGTAGCCGAGAACACCTTTACCCAGACCGCTACTACCGTCTTGTGTCGTTGGGTTCAATTGAGTTGCAAGGTTACCGCTGGAGTCGTTGAGCCATGCCTTATCATTGTAGGAAAGCGAAACAATCTTTGGCAAAAGGAATTGGCCCATAGTCAAAGCAAGACTGCTCTCAATGCTCTGAATTGGTTTCGGCATCCATCGTATGGTTTGGTCAGCGCTATCGGTATATAGGTACGATCCGGTGTTTGGTAGTTTCTTAATATACCACCAATCTACGGCTTTGTTCTCTGGTGACAAACATGCAGGTTCCGCAGCAAACGATCCATAAGGTAACAGAGTCACTAACAACAAAACCAGTTGGAAGAGTAACACTGTCTTTGGAATAATATCTATTCTATTACTTTTTTTCATAAATATTTATATCTATTTTAATAAAATATAGAAAAAGATGATATGATATGATTAAATTTGTTTTTGTTTGGTTGATCATATATTTTGTTTATTGTCCTCATGAATTTGATATCAGTACCGTACTGAAGGATGTGCAGGAGAGATTACTTTAAGATTTCGTGTGATGACAAACACACGAATTATGATCTTTTTGATGTTGTTGTTTTTAACAAAGTTTGCAAATGAGGGAAGTAAAGTTGGCACATTTGCACTTCGTCAATCAATATGCAAATAAAAATTTGATATTTTTATGATAAAACGAAAGTAATATCTTAGTGAGCTTGAAAATCTTTAATCATTTTCTCAAAAAAAAAACTAAAATTTTTGTTCGTTTATGTTCTTTTGATGAAGTTTGTTTTGCCTTTTCGATGTATTAAAAACAAAAAAGATTTACATTCGCCATTAGAACAGTCTTTTAGGACTTTGCCTATCAAAATGGGTATCAGTTACTGTAGTATCATAAATCGTTTGACCCTCAAACAAAATCTTTTCTCCAATCACGATTAATCTTACTTTGTTCAACCACAATCATACGTTATCAATAGTTCATATTTTCGTTCTGGTTAAGAATCAATCTTTTGTCAAAAAAGTATACTTCACGATAAAATACCTTTTAGTATTGGATTTTAAACATCATTATTGATTTTAAACAACAAATATTCATCGGTTAAAATGAAGATATTATATGTTTTTTTAGTATTTCTATGTTTATTTACATTGACTTATTCATCAGATACACCACCGCCGACTCCTGAAATCACCGGAATCGTTTCTACTGGAGGAATCAGTTCGAATTTAGTGATATCTGGAACAAACTTTGGAACTTCACCATCTGTAACCATTGCTATTAATGATGGTGTCCAAACTCCGTTCGTATCTGTAATCCAAACAGATGGTTCTCTCTTGGTTAATGGTCCAATTTTAGATTCAGAGACAACTCCAAGTGCCAATGGAATTTGGAAAGCTTCAGTCAGAGTTCTCAATTCGAATGCATTTGATCTAAACTTATTCAGTAAGTTTGATTTTAAATATAATTGAATTTATTAAAATTAACATTTTATTCTCAATTTAGAACCAATAATTAGTGATATTCTCCCAAATAATAAAGGTATTTGTGCAGGTGGTAATATCATTCAAATCAATGGATTTAATCTTTTGAATCCATCAAACAGCAACCCAGGACATGTATTGGTTGGTGGTTATGATTGTCCGATCAAAAATGATTTTGCCAACACTGCTATTTCCTTGCAATGTGTTACACCTTCCACTATTATCGATTGTGAAAACAAAGCACCTAACGATGTTGGTGTTCAAGTTAAAGTTGATGGAGAGAGTTCCGATTCTTTCGAGTTTATTTACCAAGATCCAGAGATTACATTCACACCAACATCGTTTATTATCGGAAAGAATGTTGCTATCGATGTTACCGTGAACAATTTATTCCTTAATAATATTCCAGATCCAATATTGATGATAGGAACCGAGATCTGTACTGATGTTACTGTCTCAGCTTCTAAAACATCGATTCAATGCAACACTCTTCCTTCTTTTACAACTGCTTCAAATGTTAATATCAAAGTCACCTATGGAACCAACACATTCAGCTCTACTTCTTTATTTGGTATCTTGAGTATGTAATCCACATTAGCTTCTCTATTTTTTGAAACAATCTAACTAACTTTCAATTAAAATAGTTCCAAAACTATTGAGTTTCGATGTGAATAGTGGAATAGCTGGTCAAACTACACCAATCGAAGTGACTGTAGAGAATTTCGATGTTTCATTTATGAACGATGTTCAAATTCTCTTTGATACAACACCTGCCACAATCACCAAAACATCGTTTTCATCCAACAAATTCAAAATGATTCTCCCAGATTCTTTTAACGGAAAACCAACTCCAATTTCAATGAAAATAGGTACACTTAACGCACACGTTGCCACAGGACTTACCTTTACTTTCTATCGTATGTATTATCAAATTTAATAACAATTAAGGATTAAATTATATACTTATAAATTTAATTTAATTTCTTCCAACACAAAATAATTTGATAGAACATACAATAACATCATTGAGTATCTATGAAGGATTGTCAGTTGGTGGAGATAAAATTGAAATTCGTGGAGAATTATTATCACAAGTATCATCTGTGACAATAAATGGAAATGATTGTCCTATTCAGGCTGATGAACCAAAAACTGACAAAGTCCTAACTTGTAAAGTACCAGCTGTCGACGCAGCACTTTTGAATCAAGCAAACGGCTTTAGATATGAGTCTTCAATTTCAGCAATAATCAATGGTGCCAATTCTATATATACATATGGAAAGAAATTCACTTACTATCAACCGGCTATCGAATCAATTGATCCAAATCCTGCAATGGATAAAATTAAAATTTATCTAATTGAAGGTTACAACTTGGACGAGATCAGCTCTATCACTATAGGAGGTGTCAGTTGCCAGATCGTCGATACTATTAATTCAGGAAATGTTGAATGTGCATTTGTACTTCCAACAACAACAGATATAACCAATCCATTACCAGTAGTCTTGAAAGAAATCTCTTCTACTTCCTCTTTTACTTCACCACCCACCAATTTACATTTTGTCAGTGAGTATATTCATCCAAAAAAAAAAACAAAAATTAGTTTCCAAAAGAAAATAATTTAGTATTAATATTAATCGTAATTTAAATATTTTAGAACCAACAATAACAGCAGATAGAAATGGAAAGATATCTGGAAATGAAATCATTACATTTACATGCACCAACTTATATGAGATTCCTATCTTAATATTGTTGGGGGCATCGAAATGCGATATTATTCCAAGCAGTCTTGCCACGAACGCACCTTTTAATTCATTTCAATGTACTTCACCATCTACCAACGTCGCAGGTGCTGTTGGAGTTACTTTGAACACAAAAAATACCCAATATATTTTTGCCAATGCATTCACATATTATAGTAAGTTATTACCTATCAATAAAAAAAAATAAATAGAAATTAGAATTAACAAATTCAAAAGTTCCAACAGTTACTTCAACAACTGGACCACTTTCAACACCTCAAGGAGGAGCTTTAACATTGACTGGTACAAAATTCCTTGAAACTACTTCTGTTACTATTGGTGGAACTTCATGTGTATTCACAGTGGTAAGTGAAACATCAATGATTGTAACTTCACCTCCAAAATCACCAGCAAACAACCCACATCCATTGGTAATAACGATTCAAGGAGGTTCAACATCCAATCCAGTCAACATAAATTATAATGGACGATCAATCACTTCAATTTCACCAACCAGAGGTTCAAGAAAAATAATAACTCCGATCACAGTTACAACTCCTACCAATCAAAACACTCCAAACTCTATTCGTTTGGTTTTAACAACTAATCCAACGACTATTGTCAACATTCCAACTTTCACTAATGACGGAGCCACAAATATCAGATTTAATGCACCAGCCACAACAGTCTCTGGTATATACAGAGTGGAACTGATTCATACAACTGGCACAACTGTTGATCAAGTTACATTCGAATATGTTGGTCTTACTTGTAAAGGTGCTCGTCAAGCTGGTTCAACTTTCAATCCCGATGTACTTTGGTGGTTACAAATTTATTTACGTCAAGCACAGGTTCCCAATCACTACTTATACTATGACAACACAATGACTGATATGATTAGACGTGTTGGATTCGATGATATAACATCTCCATTGGCTGCCACTTTTATTCAGAGGGAAGAATATTATTACATGACTTGGGATGACTATGATGGAGGAAGCTCAAAGGCACACTTGAAGCAAATGCTATTTTATGATACAACTGAAACTGGTCAAGTTACTGAAGCGATCCACATTATGCATAGTCTTCCAGGATTTCCGAATGATATTGAACCTGGAACTGATGGTTGGGTTCCACCTGCAGAAAAAGCTCAACATTTCTTCTGTTACCAAGTCACCGATATCGAAACCACCTCATTGATGATTGCGAGAACCCATCCAAGACTAACATACTCCGCAAATGATGACAATCTAAATGCTGTTGCGTTTCCAAATCTCCAAATTCTGATTGATCAAAACACTAGGAATTATGGACAAGTAAAATCAAAATTTACATGCAATATACTTAAAAATTCTAACTTTTTCATGATTTTTTTAATAGACATGTGTAAATGGTTTACTGGCTACTCCACCAACTCTTGATAATTGTAGATGGCGTGTTCCATTAGTAATTCCAGGAATAAATGCACCTCAATTTTTCTCGAGAGTTCAACTTCCATCTATTTCTAATGCAAACTTTAAAGCAAACGGTGTGGTTGCACTTGGAAGATCGATTATTCTCAACTCTTCACCACTTTTAAGGTCCAACAAAATCGATATTTACTTTCAATATGATGGATTTGATATGTGGCAAGGTGTCGCTGAGTTTTATGATAGAAATCTATTTGTTCAAACATGGTGTAGCTCAGAGGACAGACTATTCTCTGTGAATTCAAAAATTGTTAATGTTGAAAGAACAGGTATGTTGTATCATATCACTGTCTATTTCTTCAAATAACTTACAATTTATTTTTAAAATTAGAATATCCTGTTCATCTCTCACACAATACTGGAACAGGTTATGTTGGTCACTATAATAAAATGCGTGGTCATGATCATTCGAAACTTGCTTACAGTATGTATCCAG